CCCCAAAACCCCAAAACCCCAAGTCAAGCATTTGGTTTAAAAGATTAATTCTCTAAATGTGTTATTTTCAAGTTATGTTTGTGCGTGTGAATTTTTATATTATCATAAGATCAAATATTAGCTGCTTCTCCGAATATTTCATCCTTATCATATAATGCCTTATCTACTTTCTTTTTAGAGGGGTTTTTCTTAATCTTTACCTTTTTAGATTTTGGAGACTTATTTTGGGTTTTCTATTATTTGTCATCAAGAGTATTCCAATTTATTAAATCATCATCATTTTACTAATGTTAAAATCCTTTATTTAATGTTTGAGGGCTTTTCTTACTTTTACTAGTCAACTAATTTTCATCCTTCAATTACATTTATTCCTCTAGCTTTTGCATATCTACTGTGATTATTTAGTCGTCAGTTGTGTTTGGATCTGGCTTTGAATCTGGCTTAATCTGCATCTCCAAAATTTCATCAAATCCTTATAATCTTCTTTCACTCATTCTATGGCCTCTCTTTGGTGATGATTTGAAAGATTAAACATTATCGATACTCTTTTGCATTTCGTCTAACTATGGCTTAATAGGCATTTATTATGATGGGGATAGTTTTTAAGGAGACTACAATTACTATGTCTGCACCTTCTTAGGACTAGCTAATGTCAATTTCTTTTAGAAAGTAGGTGAAGATAAAGTATTTTGATTTTTCTAGTTACTAGCTCCGAAATTGTTCAGAGTCTATCTTTCAATGGCGTTAGTAAGGTCACTTGTTCCTGAAGATTACTGACCAGTTGTCTTATAAAATTTACTTTTATTTTTATTAGCCTCATTTTAAATCTATTGTAAAAACGGGATTCTATTCTATTCATCATTATTATCTTGAACATCAATATATTCCTTGCCAGAATTATCTCCTTGCTCCGAGGGATCATCCTAACTTAGGTTATTTTAAGTCATAAAGAAAGCGAACTAATTTTTCATATCAGATTAGGTACTAGGACTTTCATTATCATTTTGACTTGAACCTCCGTCTACTTACTCTAAGACATTCTATATATGGTCATTAGCTAAAGTTGTTTATCTATGGACACTAGTTTCTCTTGATGAGGTTTTTTCAATAATTATAGAACCAGTAACTGTGAATCTTTTCTTTCTATTCGGTGATTTAGAAATATTCAAATACAATTGCTATTCTTGAATATTCTATTCATCCGAAGGAGTTATTTTTCCACTAAGTTTTGAATTTATTGATAGTCCATCTTTTAATTAAGGAGGATTTAGATTGTTACTTACTTATTTTTGTTAATTCTAATTGGTTTAAGTATCTTTTAAAGTCAATGGTTCAATTCCTGCATTAGTTTTCGTCTTCTCCATGGGTTTTTTATTAAGGCTTTACTTTTAATTTGAATTATTGACTGGTAAATTGCTGCTGTTTACTTAAACTACTGGTGCCTTTTATTGCGCTTTATTATTTTGAACAGTAACTTATTTATGAGAAATGCTACTGGTATTTTAAGCATTAACTTAAGGACCTCCTGGAGCATGAGTTCTTTTTAAATTTTGCATATATCTTGGGAGTACTTTTTTTTGTTGTATTTTTTTATGCTTATTGTATATTTCAATTGACTTGTATAGGAAGGCCTTGTATGCATTCTATTTTCTTTCTTAAGCATGGAGGATAGTTTTGTCTCGCCAACTGCAAATTATTTTCTTGACTGCATCTTCATAAACTCTCTCCCTAATGTTATCAACCATTGATAGACTAGAATTAACTTTTTGATTCATAAACTAAACTAAGTTTTTTCTAACTTTGAAACCTCTGAATAATTTTTGAATTATTATTGCACATCTAACTTTATGTCGAAGTTGCTCCTTTTTGAGTAGAAATCTCTTAAATATCCTCTATATGCGAATGATAATTTCAAGCATGTGTCTTCTCAATCTTTTATAATCTTTCTTAGTTTTATGCATTTTCCAGCCGCCCTGTATTTTAAGCACACCCCAAGATACTTTTTAGTTAATTTGCAATTTTTTTAGTTTCACATCTAGCTCTGGGAGTGACATATTCATTAGCTTTTAGTCACTTGGCACATTCTTGATTAAATTCAAATCATGGAACTGTATAATCATGTTAACTTTATCTTAATTCATTTTCATGTGGCTTTTCTATCTCTCAAGTAGATCTTTTAATCTTTACTTTTGATAATCAAACTTTTGCTTGTCATGGTCAGCTTTATTCATTGTATTTTCTTTAAACATGCCACTTACTCTGTAACTCTATTAAAATAAATTGAATATAATTTCATAATAATACCTCAGAAAATTAGGAATTTTTTCCTTTCCAGAGAGGTGAGGCAATAAACGAAAATTAATTAGAGATAATATCATTATCTCTAGCACTCCTAACCTGCAATGCACTTTCTTATTCCGAGTTTGAATTTTATAGAAATGAGCTATTGTTTATTCTGGGAAGAATTAGTTTATACTTCGCTATAGAATCAGCCAAGGTGTTTTGCTTTTTATCATGGTTTTGCTAGTATTATGTCTAAAAATGAACCTAAGCAGTTTAACTTTAAGTAAATGTATTTCTAGAGGTGCTGAATCCTGGAGGGTGAAATCTCTTCATAGTGTACTCTACTTCGATACTTTATCGTAGCTGTAATGGCTTAATTGGCTTGGTAGAATCATTTTGGATAGTTGCATTTGATACTGATTTAGTTAGCTAACTTCCCTAGTTATATCTGTTTGAGAGCTGACCTGATTGGAAGAGATTGTTTTGCAACTTTGGTAGGTTCAGTGAAGGAATTTAAGGTCTTTTGAAATCTAAGTTATCTCTGACTATAATTTTTAAATCCTTATTTACTTACTGATCAGATTAGTGGTAGATTTGGATTTAAGTTAGTTATCCATTAAAATATCAATAACAATAATTTATTTTTCTCAAGTAAATTATGTAATTTTGAAGTTTTAATCACTTGAGTTAACTATTAAAATTGTACTTTAAGGATGGGAATTTATTAGATAATATTATATATTTCTAGTCTGTTATAAAGTAACTAATTTTAAACTATATCCTGCTAAATGCCGTTTTAATCTCCTTGGGGTTTTGGGGTTTTGGGGTTTTGGGG